TTTACAGGCTACGTCGTCGTTAATAAAAGATTAGTAGAACTCAAATTGGCTACAACAGTTCTTAAATATGTAAACTGTTTATATTAATATGATACAAAGATACAAAAAAATAAAAATACAAAGTTTGATATAATTTGATTTGAGGGAAAGAACACATACTAATCAAAGTCATAATCAGATACATTACCTACATCTACAAACTCTATATTTTCCTTATCTTCACAAGAAGTTAATAATAATGATTTAGCTTCATTTGTGAGAGGTTTATTTCGTTGACATATTTTAGGCCTGAAACTTGATAGGTATGGGTCAGACGATATTAACAAATTATTGATAATATCTTCATTTGTTGCAATCCTGCTAGATTTACGCGAGTGGAAGGTTCTGAAGTTTTTAAAATCTTTGTTACGAGCTTCAGAGGCCTCTTCAGAGAGCTTGCCGATTGGTATAAAGTTATTGTGCTCTATTATATCGGCACCATGAATGAGTAATTTATGCACGCTTGAGGGCATATAATACCATTCATAGAGCTCGACATATTTGCGTGCTGTAGCAGCACAATATTGGCGGAATTTTTCCACGTCCACAAACTCTCCACATGAGATAGCCTGAAGAATCACTCCAAATCTTCTAACGAGTTCTTCATCAACACCCGTTATTTGAGCAGTAATTTGAGGATTAACAAAAAATCTTCTTGCTGTGTTTCCATCGTTGCTTGTACCAGCCCCTTGTTTAACAACGTCCACAAGTAGCCCCGTTTCAGTCCGGAATTGTTCTTGAATAGCCTTTTTTCTTTGGCTTAACTGTTGCTTCAAATCTTCGCCCTTAGCTTGCCATTTCTTGAAGTCGAGACGGTAAGCAATATGTAAGATACATTCCATGCATCTAATTCGTGCATGGAGGGAAGACAGACCGAACTTAAACAGACTGGGTTCTCTGAGTAACCTTGTCGATATCATTCATTTCTTTTGGTTTTGCTTTGCATATATCGCATGTAGCTGTGGATGTATCTGATAAATGTGAAATTATTTTACCATCAATCATCGTCATATGCAAAACGTGTTTTACATTTGCACCATCGATAACAGTTGGATGTAGAGCAGCAATTTCCGTATCAATTGAAGTCATTTCTTCTTTAACATTCAAATCGTTCTCTTTAGCAAACTTAAAATAAATGGATCGACAGTAAAACGTTGAAGACGCTTTGGGGTTTTCCCATATTATTTCATCAGTAGCATCTCTCACCAGTTTTAACGCCACAAATGAACACATGAAGATGCTTGAATCATCACCGTCAATTTTTTGTTGGTAGTTGCTTTGCCCAGATGCACCGTCAAACCCCCATTTACTGATAAGAGTCGAATTACTGCCAGTTAAATCAGTTTCCAGAGTTTTTAATAGTCTCTTGACCGTAATATCTAAAATAGACTGAAGTTTAAGTTTAACTTCAGTCTCAGTTATTACCATGTCTTCTTTTTCAACGTAGCACTCCTTCTTCTCTTGCTTCAAAGCATCATACGATGGAAGTATATCACACCCCATGTCTCTCATTATCTGCCTCAATGTAATATACTGCCATTTCGATAATTTCAGTGATGTTGAAATACCGAGTGCCTTATCGGTATGACAAGTTCGTTTCGTCGATTTCAGGCAGGCTCGCAGCATTGGCGCATCTTCAGGCTTTTTAATCAAATGCTTCACTAATTCTACAAAGTCCGTTTGGTTTTCATTTTCCGCTTTCCTAGCCAGGGCATAAGCAAGTGTCTCAAAATCGTTTTCGGCAATGAGATTTTCAGTTCTTCTTCTTTTTTGCAGTGGACTCAAATTGGCAAATTCTTTTCGAGGACTAAATGTAGCGGTTGATGTCGACACAGCCACACTATGAGGAACAGTGCATTCCGTTCATAAACTAGGTCTTGTTACTGTTGAAATACTTGTTGAAGGATCTTCAAAACTCGTCATAATATTTGATTGTTCTTCAGTTATGTCTAGTGAAACAAACTCTGGCCATTTTATTTCTTGGTCCAACCAGTCAGCAAACTTCTTTATAAAATTCCCTTGTGTGTAATTAGCTGACTTCCATTTGCGTTTAAGATTACTCGTATATGTAGCACAAAACGTTTTAAGAGTTGTCTTTTGTTCTTCAGATAATGAAAATCTCACTGAATCGAGTACTTTTTGAAACAACATGTCGGCACTAAAAGATTTTTGCCTCATATATATATATACGTCGAGATTAGACACAAGCCCTTCCATTCTGAGCAACTTAAAATTTGAGCAAAGAGAACGTTACGGTACGAATCAATAATGATAAGTGAAATGAAATACAGGTGTACTCCGTATTTATTATAATCGAAGTCATTGTTGAATAATAATAATAACAACGTATTATTTATTGACCTACCCACAATAAAAGCAAATAATCAGTAATTATTATAGGCAAACAACGGCAGGTAATGACTGTGGGTAACCCTTTGAATTCCTCAAAACCTGCAACAATAGAGTTTGTATTGTTTATATGTAATGATGCTCTCGTTAATGGCGCGCGGCTTTTAAGCGATTGTCAAACAAAAGATTAAATTGTAGGCTGTAAAGGACTTCATTGTAATTCTTTACAATATTGTATTCTTGTTTTCTTTTTCTTAAAACTATTTCTTTTATCTATTTATATTAATTCCATATCTTTTGAATAAGGACGCTTTTATTTAAAGTTAAGTTGTATGGTGTCGTTATCTATATATATATGTATAGTTTTATTAGATAATAATCTGCGCTGTATTAATAACTAAATGCTGGGCAAGAAACATAAACAAACTGTTTATTGAGACACATAACCCCGTAAAGCAAAGTTACCCTAATAAGCATTTTGAAAAATTCGTATCTTTTGAACGGGGCCGTCCGGGGTGAAGGTCAAAGGTCACATGGCTTCGTAACAGACCCGGTAATAATCCCTATTAGTTTCAGCTTGACCGTAGAAGACCGAGACAAGTTATGAGCAAAACAAATTCCGTTTTCATACATTTGAAACTCTAAAGCCCGTGCTTTATGGTGTCAGATTAAAAGGAAATTCCCCAAACTATTTTATTATTCAATGTACTGATATGTCCAATAAAACCGCATACCTTAAACGGATAATATACATTTTTATTTTTTCAAAAATCCTATGAAATTGTCGGGAACTGGAGCGAGGATAGGTTCTAGGACGCCGACGTAACATCTGTTTCGAACATGTATCGAATCATGTTGAACGATACGTCGATTAACTGATTTATTTTTCGACACACACGGGACTTTGGGAGAACGTGTCACCATCGGGCATTTCCTTGCTGCTTTAGAAGTACATCTAAGGAAGCACAGGTGTTACATTCCAAACAAAACACAAACGTTAAATTCAAAAGGATCACACAAAGCGGGATATCGAGAGCGGCGTCAGTGCTCATAGTAATTAAAAAAATAAAAATAAACGAGGGTTGTCCCAAAACATTTAGCTCTAAAATTTACTTTTCGAAAACAATTAAAAATCTAAGTGCTATCTAGTGCATTATCATAATCGTTATGTGATGTGTGCGCTTGCATATGTGCGGCACGCATACGGCCAGTAATTCTGGTGTAATGCGGTGCATATCTGAAAACGAAAATTGCCCTATACCACACATATTTCCTGACAGCCTAACTTATAGCCACGTTAAGTGATACACACACTGAAGACACAAGTTTAGTCGACACATGGACATGATAGTTAACATTTGATTAGAAATATCCATGAGATGGGGCAACCCTTGTTTTAGTCTGAAACACTGAAAGAACAGAGCCACTTTCGCCTCCCGACAGGCCTCCAGTGGCACTGCTCATAAATATTCTTAAAAATAATAATTTTTACTGTTTCTGACAAAAAGAGACAGTAAAAATTGTTAAATCAATATTATGGCGGATGCAAAATATAACTTAACTTAAAAAAAGAAACAAAAATCGCCTTCACAGGATCTCTCGTAAACAACCTAGAACGGGACATGCAATAAAAGTATAAGTGAGAGCCAATCTTAGAAACACCAATGTAGGTAAATCGAGTTACGGTGCAGCTATGTTACGAATGCGGACCTCTTTTTTTCACCCACTGTGCAGCGGCTTAATAAGCTAGTGTGCTTGCTTGCGGCCAGCCTTGATAGAGTACGACAATCATACCCACACTCTCGACTCGCATTTTGAGGACCTTGGTCCTCTAAGTGTGCTAATTACGCCAACGAGTCCTCACATATCCTAGTCTGGAACTTTCAGTGGACGAAGAAGGCTTTCACAGATAAAAAAAGGACAAGTACGAGCCGGACTCGCCCACCGAGGGTTCTATTCATTTGTAGGTTCGCAAAATAAACGGCCATATCTCATTTTCAGTTGACTTAGAAGTTTGATTTTTGCACAGCTTCAATGGACCGTAGACCTGATTATATAGTTTACATTACAATTCGATATCTCCACGCGTTCAGGAGATAAAGGGTCTTGAACTCTTGACAGACAGATAAACGGCTGTATCTTTTTTAACGTTATCTTAGAAGATTGATTTTTCACGGCTTCAAGGGACCGTTCAATTGAGTATATAGTTTAAATTTCAACTCGATACCTCCACGCGTTCCCGAGATAAAGGGCCTTAACAGTAAGACGGACAGACGGACGGGCAACAGAGTGAATCTATAAGGACTTCGTTTTTTCTTTTCAGGTACGGAACCCTAATAGTGTTCATCATCATCAGCGTATTAGTGTCCCCACTGCTGGGGCGCGCGGGCCCAGTGCGGATTGGTAGGTGCTAACGACTGCAGATGCAGCCGGGACCAACGGCTTAACGTACCTTCCGAAGCACGGAGGAGCTCGAGATAGTAAATTTTTGATCACTCATCCAATGACCGACCACTGCGAAAGTTGCTTAACTTCAACGAGCGCAGCCGAACGCGCTAACCACTTGCGCCATCGAGCTCCTCAAGTGTTGCCCGATGGTAAGTTAATATTACCTATACTGCGAATGGTACAGGGAGCCGAGTCTATGGTGTATCATGGCGGCGCGGAACTGGTACAGATACTGCCTGGGTCCGGGGCTTAGCAAGCAGTGCTTTAACGCTTGCTTGAATGCTTCCGCCACTTCTGTCACCTCCTGCGAATGTAATAAGTCAAGTTTCATACCTCATAATATATTTCCGGACACATCTATCTGACACTTAGGGCCTGTTTCACAATCGCTAAGTTAAGTTCTCAATAAGATACTTAGAACTTATCTTAGTAAACAAATAGGGATGTTGACTTTGACAGGGACCTTGTTATGGATTTCAAACGCTTTTCCAAAAAAATTTCAACATCCCTATTCTTTACTCAGCGATTGTGAAACAGGCCCTTAGTGTTATAAGTCTCAACAGCCTGTAGACAAAATATATGTTTATGGTTGATCAAACATTTTAAAACCACTCGAAAATATGGTTAATAAATCAGCTTCAAAACTGCGTAGATAATAAGTTTTTGCTCTATGTAACATTTATTTTTAGCTAGGGACCGTCAAAACTTCAGGGAAATGGATACTTTGAGGATTCCCAAGGTATTATAAGTTTCGTTACAAACAATGCAGCGTTTAGTTAAATTTTCATTTCTTTCATTCCTTTAGTGTTGACGTATTGTTATTTATGAAGATTAAAGTTTTTGTAGTGTTGCTGGCCATCACTTTAGAAGAAGAAGAAATATCACCAGTTGCAGACCCGACACGATTCGTGCTGTTTGCTTGAAATCATAACTCACCAGAGCGTACACAGACGGACAATCTTGCATCAACGTGGTGCGCGTGTACAGATGGCACGACAGTTCCCACGCCACTAGGTCCCGCAACCTATCTTGCCTCTCTCACAAAACTCACCAGCGCGTACAGACGGACAATCGTGCATGAACGCGGCGCGCGTGTACAGATGGCACGACAGTTCCCACGCCACTAGGTCCCACAACCCTTAGCTATATCTTGCCTCTCTCACAAGACTCACCAGCGCGTACACAGACGGACAATCGTGCATCAACGCGGCGCGCGTGTACAGATGGCACGACAGTTCCCACGCCACTAGGTCCCGCAACCCTTAGCTATATCTTGCCTCTCTCACAAGACTCACCAGCGCGTACACAGACGGACAATCGTGCATCAACGCGGCGCGCGTGTACAGATGACACGACAGTTCCCACGCCACTAGGTCCCGCAACCCTAGCTATATCTTGCCTCTCTCACAAGACTCACCAGCGCGTACACAGACGGACAATCTTGCATCAAGGCGGAGCGCGTCGTGTACAGATGGCACGACAGTTCCCTCGCTACTAGATCCCGCAACCCTTAGCTATATCTTGCCTCTCTCACAAGACTCACCAGCGCGTACACAGACGGACTATCTTGCATCAACGCAGCGCGCGTGTACAGATGGCACGACAGTTCCCACGCCACCAGGTCCCACACGGCGACGGCGCCGCAGCCCTCGCGGGGTCCCAGCAACTTGAGCGCCTCGTTGTATAACCCTTCGGCCTCACTGTACAGACTACGCTTCTCCACACTAAACAACAAAACCTTTTTTAACAAAAATAAAAACCGACTTCATAAAAACAAAACCACCAAAAATTAAGAAATTACACAATTCGAAGCTACATTTAAAGTCAAATTAACATTTGGTGTCGGTACCACGCCAAGCCAAGCAGTAAACGGTAACTCAAATCTATCAACATGCATGGCACCGACTGCAAATGTTAATTTGATGCATCTCGTAGATATGCCCGAACAATAATAAAAGAAAATGACAAAGGAGATTGCTCAGCTTCCATACATGTTTGGCCTAAAGATCAATAATCATGAAAAATTGTTTCCTAGATTCGAAATCTTTATATATATAATTCTTCTGTGAGTGTGTATGTCACTGAACTTCTCTTAAACGACTGGACCGATTTTGATGAAATTTTTTGTGTGTGTTCAAGGGGATCTGAGAATGGTTTAGATTCACAATTTTGTCCGCTGGACAACCCCTATTTTTTAGGGCGGTACGAAGTTCGCTGGGTCAGCTAGTTATATATAAATTACTGTAGAAACGAATATTATTGACGGACACCCCTGAGAACTTCTATAAACCATATACACTGAACATATTAAAATAATAAAAAACAAATAAGTTATATAGTAAACTAGGGAAATCAAGCCAAGTACCGAAATTATGGATTAGATTCAGGTATATAGAGCATGTAGATTCACAGATAGTTACCTGTTTTTAAAGTTAATGCATAAGAGTAACTTTTAAAATCAGGTGTCATCTATGCATTTCCGGTTATAATAAGGTACTCTGTGACAGAAACTGTGTGATGATTGTGAATGAGCCACAGATTAGAGAGAATTTTTAAACTCTCGTTAACCAAAGACAGCTAAGAGATTTAGGTTATATAGCCATATATTCAGTATCTTATTATTTTTGTTGTGTTTTTAATATAACCATATTTTAGATTTTTAGTGTATCACACCTTATAATTTTATTTATTTATAGTCAGGCAACGTAGGCCCATAGATAAATACCTTAAAGTCTAAACAGATTATAATACTCTCGTTAACCAAAGAAAGCTAAGAGATTTAGGTTTTATAGCCATATATTCAGTATCTTATTATTTTTGTTATGTTTTTAATATAACCATATTTTAGATTTTTAGTGTATCACACCTTATAATTTTATTTATTTATAGTCAAGCAACGTAGGCCCATAGATAAATACCTTAAAGTCTAAACAGATAATAATGTGTTTATGGAGGTGTTTGGCGAAAAATTTATGGCAATAGACTTTATGATGTCGCCTACCATCTATAATAATTGTCTGAGCACATTTGCATGTAGTGAAAATGATAATATAGTTGTGGATATTACAGTGTAATAAAAAAATGGTTGATTTTATCGATCTTTACAAAATAGATTTGTTTTTATGTTATATAAACAACTTCGATCAGTCTTTGGCTGAATGTTACTACACCCATAGCATTAAAAATGATTAGTACGGTAAAATGAAAAGTCCTTTTTAAAGTGAATATATTATACAAAGGTGCCGTTGAAATGTAATGACTGTAAATTAAATTATAAATTACGCCAAGAATTACCGTGTATGTCAATATTTTTGGTGCATTTGGGTCAATTTGAGCAATCTCCTTTAGAACCTCCTCCTGTTTAAAGTCGGTTATAAATGAAATTCTATTAGTTTTTTAATAGTAGGCCAGAAATATTAAAATATTGAAATCTGTTTTAATATGAAAATTTGAATAATTTCACAGAGTGAAGAATAAAGCACCGATTGTTGGTATCTGTATTTAACATGAATTTTGGCAATGAAGTAGCAAATTTACCTTAATAAACATGTTTAAGAAGATCTGATAGAAAAGGAAATTACACATTGTCTATCAATATAATCATATTAAAGAAGAATTTATTTTGAACTATTGCCACATGATCGAAAAAGGTTAGCATAAAATGACATCAATGACACATGACAGTTGGGGAGTATGGGGGAGAACGGCTTATAACATCCTCGCCGACCCCAATTGTCAACCTCACCTGCACGCGTCAGCAATTCGTACGAATAGCTGACGGCGCCGGCCCTTGTGGCAGGCGTGGTGCTCCCTGCCAGACAACAGACGAGGCTCTGACGACCGAGCAATGGCGGTATAACCATACTACCGGTCGGGAAACCGATCGAAGAGGATTCAGCGACCTTGGGGTCTAAATAACTCCTAAAATGCCTGGGGCAGAAGGCAACGGGAAACCACTGCTTCTACTTTCCCAAGAGAGTCAGCATGATAAGAAGAGGAACAGAAATTAGTATGTGTGATGATCCGGCTGACGCCCGGCGCCATCTTCCCGGGAGAGGTGGTGCGAAATATGCTACCGGCCATGCACGTGTAGCTCATCAGGCACCGCATGGAAATTTAGCTACTGATGATTATACGTCGATTCGTCATGCCCACCGCATAGGAACGTGGAATTTGCGCGGCCTCAACCAACCTGGCAAACTGCAAATTGTGGAAAACGAAATGCAAAGGAAGAAAGTTCACCTGCTAGGGCTCAGCGAAACACATTGGAAAGGTCAGGGTCAGTTTACAACTGACCTAGGAAGTACAATATATTTTTCGGGCCCCGAAGATGAGAGCAGCAAAGGAGTGGCATTCATCGTCCCGAAATCTTTAAATAAATGCATTGTAGGATACGAGAGCAGCAAAGGAGTGGCATTCATCGTCCCGAAATCTTTAAATAAATGCATTGTAGGATACAACCCAGCCAGTGATCGCATAATAGCGCTAAAACTTAACACCGTACCGTGCAAAGTCAACATCGTACAGGTTTATGCCCCTACAGCACAATCAACTGAAGAAGCAATGGAGGGCTTTTACGACACGTTGAACACGCTACTTAAAGGGCTACCAAAACGAGAAGTTACCATCATCTTGGGAGACTTTAATGCCAAAGTTGGAGACACAAGGGGCGATGACCACCTGCGTCGTGTTGCAGGTAAATACGGAATTGGAGAAAGAAACGATAGGGGCGAACGTCTGTTACAATTCTGCTGCGAAGAAGATTTCACTATCACTAATACCTGTTTCGAACATCATATTCGGAGATTATACACTTGGATATCCCCTGGAGACAAATGTAGGAATCAAATTGACTACATTCTGATAGGGACGCGATGGAGAAGCTCAGTGACGAACGCCACAACTTTCCCTGGCGCTGACTGTGGATCCGACCACCAACTTCTAGTAGCAACAGTTCAAGTGCAGCTAAAGAGGATACAGAAACCTAAACTAGCTCCGAGTATGCAAGGTGTAAACATCACTGGCTTCAGAGATAGTCTTGAGCAAAAAATGACTTTCCAAGAGACATGACCGACAGCGACAGTCAATGGGAATACCTCAAAGGGATGATACAGGAAACAGCTAAAGACAACAAAATAGTGAGACCCACTATGAAAAATTTCATCACACCTGAGACGTCTCAAATCATCCTTAAGAGGCGTGAACTTAAGGAGAACGGCATATGCTCAAATGAGGACAGTACTAAGCCGACAAGTTTAATTGTGCTGTCGAAAGGACTATGATAACCACATTAATAAAATCTGTCTCGAACTTGAACAACACGCACTGAAACACGAATCCAGATATCTTTTTCAGAAAGTAAAAGAACTATCTAGGACGCATAAGCCAAGAACCTACGCCATTGAGGATGGGGATGGGCGTCTGTTGACTAATGTGGAAGAAGTGTTAGAACGCTGGAAAACCTACTGTGCGGAGTTATATGACACAAGTGAGCCTACAAACGCTAACATTACATGGACAGAAGAAGAACCAGATATCCTTGCATCAGAAATTGAGTATGCCATCAAAGCTCTTAAGACCGATAAATCACCAGGTAAGGATGCTATTACAGCCGAAATACTAAAAAACCTAGGTCAGCGAGGCACAAAGGCTATCACCGAAATCTGTAATACCATATGGAAAACTGGAATATGGCCAAAAGACTGGACAGAATCGGTGTTCATACCGCTACATAAGAAGGGCTCTTCTAAAGTTTGTGGAAATTACAGGACAATTGCATTAATTTCCCATGCGAGCAAGATCCTTTTACACGTGGTCAATAGACGTCTAAGCTACTTTCTAAGCTGGCAGATACCCGAAGAGCAGGCTGGCTTTGTTAAAGGCAGGGGAACGCGGGAACAAATACTGAATGTCCGCCAAATTATCGAGAGGAGCAGGGAATTCAACTGTCCCCTCGTCCTATGCTTTATTGACTACACCAAGGCCTTTGACTGCGTAAAATGGGATAAACTGTGGAATGTGCTACTTGAAATGGGAGCTCCTAAACACCTAGTTGCCTTAATTCAGAATCTAAATACACAAAACCGGTCGTTCATCAGAATAGGTATGGACTGCTCTAATATGTTCCACACTAAAAAAGGAGTGAGACAGGGTTGCATATTGTGTCCCGCCCTTTTCAACATATATGGAGAGTATATTATTCGAAAAACTATAGAAAACTGGGAGAAGGGTTTTCCCATAGATGGAAAGAGACTATCAAATCGCCGATACGCTGACGACACAATTCTTCTGGCAACATCCATGGAAGATATGTGTGAGCTTTTCCAAAGACTCGAGTTAGAGAGTGGCAACATCGGTCTCACAGTGAATAGAGCAAAAACCAAAATTATGATAGTTGATAGAGCCGGAAAGTTAACAAATGTCAACAGTAACATTCCTGGCATTAATAACGTCGACCACTACATATATTTGGGCTCCCAAATCAACAATGATGGCAGCTGCGTTCCCGAGATAAAAAGGAGATTCGGTATGGCTAAAGATGCTATGTCCCGACTAAACAACATTTGGAAGAAAAGAGGAATCAGTATCAAAACCAAGATCAGACTGATACGAGCCCTGGTATTCCCTATCTTCTTATATGGAGTTGAATCGTGGACAATTTTAGCCCGAGAAAGACAAAGGATTGATGCATTCGAGATGTGGTGCTGGAGGCGAATGCTGAGAATTTCTTGGACCGCGAAACGCACCAATGCATCGATTTTGAGTCAGCTCCGTATAAATACTCGTTTGTCCACTGTATGCCGACAACGCATCCTATCATACTTCGGCCACACAATGCGCAGGGATGACGGCAATTTGGAAAAATTGATTGTTGTTGGGAACACCGAAGGTAAACGATCGCGCGGTCGTTCACCAACTAGATGGACAGATCAAATAAAAGAAACGTCGTTGTCCAAATTTTATACGGTTGCGGAAACCGGTGGAGGCAGATCATCCATTCCAGATGCAACTAGCATGCTGACCACGATCCTCAGTCATGAGGGACCGAACAGAGAGAGAGAGAGATAAATGAAATTCTATTAGTTTTTTAATAGTAGGCAAGAAATATTGAAAGATTCAAATCTGTTTTAATATGAAAATTTGAATAATTTCACAGAGTGAAGAATAAAGCACCGATTGTTGGTATCTGTATTTAACATGAATTTTGGCAATGAAGTAGCAAATTTACCTTAATAAACATGTTTAAGAAGATCTGATAGAAAAGGAAATTACACATTGTCTATATATTGATAGCTGCTACTTCATTGCCAAATTCATGTTAAATACAGATACCAACAATCGGTGCTTTATTCTTCACTCTGTGAAATTATTCAAATTTTCATATTAAAACAGATTTCAATATTTTAATATTTCTGGCCTACTATTGTTGGCACCGATTGTTGGTATCTGTATTTAACATGAATTTTGGCAATGAAGTAGCAAATTTACCTTAATAAACATGTTTAAGAAGATCTGATAGAAAAGGAAATTACACATTGTCTATCAATATAATCATATTAAAGAAGAATTTATTTTGAACTATTGCCACATGATCGATAAAGGTTAGCATAAAATAACATCATAAAGTCACAAGTTAGCAATGGAACACTAAAAATAAACTTCAGCTGTCCTTCCATTTGTTCTTCTGTTAGTGAACATGTTAATGATCACTAGCAGAAGAACAAAGAATCCGTTAGGATAGATATTTTTTACAGATGAAATATCACAGAATTTGAATGAAATCACAAATAGTTACAATAAGCGTAACCTTTTCAGGTTTTTTCATCGATTTTATTCAAATGCATTGGTTTTATTCAAATTAGCCTTATGTAAGGCAAACTCGCGTCCAGCTTAATTTTTTTCAAAAAAAATGTTATAAAATACGTATTTTCTTTCATTCAAGATTTTAAATTTTAACTTTAACCTATAAACAATAACTTACCCAAACTCCCTTTGGTCAGTGTGCGCTTTAAACCTCAGATATCTAGCTTTGTTACAGTATAGCAACGCCAGGTTAGGAACGTCGTTTACTTGCTGGAATATGCCGGTCGCCTCTTCCAAGCACTCGGCGGATCGGACCGAGAGGTTGGCAAATTGCTTTTGCAAGATTTTTGCTTTTGGTGACTTGAGATCCTCTTCTTCCGTGTATTTTGTGTATACCTCTACAACATATTATTGTTATAAGTGAGCTTTTTCTTTATCAAGTGAGTTTAATAATAAAAAAGACTTTTTATACTGTATTTCTACACTAAAAATCTCCAATCTTTGGAATGAATGAATGTTTAAATAAGTACCCAAAGAATAGATTCAGAATCTATTAAGAGCGATAAATTATCTTGAATCTATATGTAAACAACTACTTACGTTGGGCATCATTCATGTATCTGACGGCTAACTCGTTGTTGACCGACGCTAAACGTCGCAACAGTTCGCCTCGCTTATCGTGTGTCACTTGCACCGCCCGCCTGTAATACGTGCACGACGACAACATCGCTTCTGTCTCGCTCGTCGGCAGTGCTATATCTGTTTGATAAATTAATATTGTTTAATAGTAGGGGTGTTATAATAACGCCTTGGGGTTCTCCCGAATCACAGTCACATGGAGTCGAAAACATAGCAGTGGTCTAGAAAATTAAGATAAAATGTCATCAAATAATTTGGTGTTTACAATTTTACATTGATAGTGTTTTTGTTACACAGCAATAAAAGCGATTCCTTAATTAGTTTATACTCACCGAGATCAAACTCATCAGCTACTTCTCCATCGACCTCTTCCGCCATATCGTTTTCGATCTCCAAACGCAGTTTACTATCCGTATCGTGATCAGTCTCAAACTGTTTCTTGAATTGATCTAGCCGATTCCAATGCTTGCTTAATTGAAAGTAATTATCTCCGACCCTACCTATCAAACAACTAGCATCAACCACACGACTCTTGATAATCATATTGCTCAACAATTTCTGGCATTTACTAGCCATGTCTATATACTTCAAAGAAAACCCGTACTGTTCATTAGCATAACTGTATTCCGCTAAAGTGGCATAAGCGAGACATATCTTCTCATATAGCAAGGTCTTCAAATGCAACTTCCATGCGAAATTGTCATCTCTATTTGGCTCTTGCCACGTCGGATACATTTTCTTCTCTTTCCGTATCAATATTGCATTCTTGTCTATGTTCGAATTGGATTCAATGAGGCAGTTGCCTGATTTGTCCGAGGTTTTCCTGTCTCGTTTACGTCTACGGCTTCGAGAAGTATGCTCTTTGGTCTCTTGCTTCTTGCTAAGTGGTTCATAGTCCATTTTGATGGGTTCGTATGGATTAGCCATTTTAGGATGTTGTTCTTCTATGATTATTTGTTGTTTCAGCCGTTCGCGCTCTTCTTCCTGTAAAATTAAATTTATGAAAGATTGTATACACAATAACCCATTCCAGTCGTTTACTTTTAAAAGAAATGTCTAATATTTACCTTGCACTTGTCAATAGTAATATTATTTAATGCGAGCAGTCCCTTTAAGGCGTGTTTAAGCGCCCTCCCACAACGATCTGGGGGTTCACTACCCAAGCCGGTAGGCAAATTAGGTTTCCTTTTATCATCCTGTGAAATAAATTGTTTTTTAAGACATTATTATTTAAACTGAAATATACTGACTGTCTAAATAAAGACGATATTCTATGATGTCATTTCTATTAATCCTATTAAAGAAACTCTTTTATAATTATTTTATATACTGATATAAATTTCATTACACTAATGTGAACACACTGGGTTATAAATAGTAACAAAATTGCTCTATGATTTTTTAAGCTTTATAAGCAAGATTTATAGTATCGGATTAATATAGAAAAGGAAGGTTGTTTACTCACTCCAGTTGGATCTTTCACTTTATCACCTATGTCTCTTAAATCCAGTCCACGAATTTGAACAGCGAGTGAATTGGATTCATCACCCTTTTTGGTTATCTCTGTCGTCTCCGTTCTTTCATTTGTCTCTTTCTTTACTATAGAGCCGTCAACTGCATTAATGGCTACATCTTTTTCGCTCGCAACTGTATCTTTTTCACTTGTACTATCATTATTTTCAGACGAATTTGCAAATCTTTCATAAAGAGATTCTTCTGCATCACACGCTTCTTGTGTGTATTTCGTGTAATCTTGATCCTCATTGTCATCATCTGAACTTTCGTCTAAAATTAAGTATGATTAGTTAAACTTACAAAAAAGCCAGGAGAGTATTTATCATATTAACTTAATTTAAACCATCATTCTATTAATACCATTATTTAAAAACACCTCGCATTATTTTAAAGGACATAAGAAAATCTTACAAAAATATAAATAAAAATTTCAAGAAAATATTAGTGAAGTAGAGTTACTTTAAAGAAGTTTAACTGTACATACCTATTTTTTTTTGCGATAACTACTCCGCTACTTTTCATAGGTATTAATTACGCTATAACTTTTCGATTTTACTATGAACTTCATCATGCTTTACAATTACAACTATAATCCGGATGTACCGACCGTACTCGGTCAATTAAATATAATCCATTTCTCACCTTTGAAATCTGGACTAGCGGGGTTCGTAGTCGCAGGCACGAACAGATCGGCGAGCATGTAATGCGACGACGCAACGATCTGCGGATACCTCTCCACTTTCAACAACTCTATCACATGTTCTAACAGCTGCTTAACATGTTTCGACCTGTTCATTAACCTCATATTTCTGGCCACCCGATACAGTAACATAGCTACGGGTGTGGTAAAAGGATTGTCCAAACTATCTGGACATAGAGAAGTCAAGTCGTATAGCTTGACGACATCATCATGGGGGCCTTTGAACAACCAATACGTGTGACCAGCTTTAGTTGCGTTAGATTTCAGAAAAGACAGTATATTTTGAGCGACGTTTCTTATGACTTTTGGAGAAAATTTCGAGTTTTCGACGTTGGGTAGATCTTCCGTTTTCATAGGTTCATACTTTTGAACGATTCCGTCTAAATGGTAGCACATTAGGACTTCCGGAACGTTGCACATGAGGTTGTCTAGCCAATAGTCGATACCCGTAAGAACGTTTATGGGTTCCCTAGCGTCTCTGAGTCGAAGGCTGACGCAAGGTCTGTCTTGATCTCCGAATATGGGAAGGTCGCTGCCTATAAGCATGTGTATGTCTTCGAAGGTCCACAGAACGTTGCGGTTGTATAAATGCTCTTTTGGAGGCTCCTCGGGTCTGGCTTCAGGCTCTGGGAGATATGGTCCTAAAGGTGAATTGTAGCTTTTACTCAATTGCTTTTAAATATACATTTACGGTGTGTAAGCGTAATAATATACGTTCTTATCTAAGTAATTACGAAGAGTTTTGCTGAAACGTAACTCCCATGAGAAAATATTATAATTTCTGAATTATATTTTTAGTTATCGGCAATGGAAGTGACATGCTCGAATTATGTGCTAGGTCCCTGCCTGCCAAATGCCACGCGAATGAGCTGAATATAAACAGGGTATAAGAAGGAGTGTTAACGAGTACGTATGGATTTGTGTGAAATCGGAATTAAAATGTAGTAGTAAATGTGTAGTTGTGTGAAGGAAGTCTTACCAGATATGCAGGCAGGCGGAGCGGGCTGCGCGGCCGCCACGCTATGCGACAGAAACTTGTGAGTCAACTGCAGAGCCGACCTCAATGCAGGCGCAGGGGTCAACGACATACGCTCCTAACCAACGTACAAAAATATATATTTTACATTATATTTTTTTAGATTTTCATCAGCCTATTAATATCCCCACTGCCTGCATTAATGTTATCATTTGTCCGGATTTATAGTCTTACGACCGTACCGGGACAATTAACATTTAAGGTTGACTAATTAAAGCTCTCGCTTCTCTTTCAATAAGAAAAGAATGGGACAACTCTTCTGATGACCCTGAATTGCTAATTTAAAAACAGCGACGGAATCTCCCCACAGATCGGAGGTTTACTTTCTATTTAATTATATGAAAGAGTTTATTTTATCCCTTAAAACTTGAACAACTGTAAAAAATAATTTTCATTTTTTTTCTATTGAATTGAACATTTCTTTTATATTAGGAATATACAATTATGTGTTATACAAAAAGAATCTTACCTTCTCGGACATAGTCTTCAGGATGTTTTCATAGAAGAAGTCCTTGAGCCAGGACCACTCCGACTTCATTAGATAATCGTAGACATCAAAATCGTCCAAAAGGAGAGTGTTCTCAACTCTGTGCACCATCATGCTTACCTGTAACCAAAAATTGTGAAAATCTTACATTGTCAGCTCACTAGTGTTATTTTGATAGAATACAACTGTTCCTTATGAAAATAATTAAAATATCAATCTGAATGCAAACAATTCTGTACACTATCATGGATGTCATATGATAGTGCTGAAATACTAGTCACATCAATATGTCCTCACATAAAGTTGCTGTTTTATTTCTTAAGATGTACGACTTACAGTGCCATTTGGCTGGTATGGCAACTTGAGCAGTTTCTTGATGCATTCTGCTCCTGATATGACATCCACCTCACCAACACAGTCAGGGAACATATGTGCCATCCTGAAGCTGTAACATAAACATTTTTATACAATAATCATATTACTGTCAATAGGCAAAACTAAAAATTCTATTAAAATAGGATAAAAAATATAATAGGGATGAAAATAATTAAAAAACTGTGGTGCTTAAATATAGTTTCTGAACAATTCAACACCAAAGAAACTGTTTGATAATATACAGCACATATAATTATAATATGTATATACTAAAATCTACACATTATACCCTTCAAATCAGTTCTAAATATTATATTATTACTAGCTGACCCAGCAAACGTTGTCCCACCATAAAAAGAGAGGTTGGTGGTATAAGGATGAAAATTTAGGGTTGTATGTATTGTTTTATGCAGAATCATATAAAAATCTAATAGCATAGTCCAAAAAAATTTTTGGGTGAACCACCCTAATGCACATCTACTGAATACACACAAAATTTCATAAGAATCGGTAAACCCATTTCAGAGTAGTTATGCTACAAACACTGTGACACAAGAATATGTTATATAAATATTAGAATAATATAACAAACTATCATGATGTCCACCTTCAAGGTCAGATTTAGGGGTGTGGAGGCCCAGGGGCAAAGAACGATTGGAGACCCCTAAGGCTTAAACTATAAATTCAGTATTCGGTATATTATGCAAATAATTTTAATATGTTTTGTGTAACATATTGACAGAATAATGATAAAATAACTTAAATCAAAAAAATATTATTCTTACCTAGATAATCCAGTACCTCCTGTCAAGATCTGCTTTAAGCCGTACGAGTCAATTGCCGCCCCCCAATTGGAGGGTGGTAAATTGAGATCTGTGTTGCACTGCAATCGTGCATAACCGACTGGACTCTGAAATGCTGTGTACTTAACAACAGCAGTTGACTTTACACCTGGAGATGGACTCCGGTCCTGAAAACAGAGCGTTACCGTGATAGGAAATTATTTTTATTTTCTTAAAAGCAATAAATAACTAGTTTGATTAATCTATAATAAGAAATTTTTCCTTGTTTTCTTTTATACTCTTGAAACATATTTATATAACCATTTAAGATTTATCTACGTGCAAATTTTAACAAAATTATACAGACATATTTTAATCATAGAAATACTTCGTGTAATAAAGCCACAATACCTTCGACCGTTTACATTCATTTTCATTTTCCAGCTCTTCCATGTTCTTTGATTGCTGATAGAGGAACTATAGAACAACTAGTATGTTTTCCAAGACGACTAGATAGATAACCTGTTTTGTAATAGAGAAAACGAAAAATAACGTGGGATTTCTCCACAAATTCGCAGCAAGGGTAAAATATTTTCTAGCAATTTACCTGCAAAAGAAACTTTAACGTGATAGTTATAAAGTACACTTTAACTTTAAACAAAAATAATCATTCATGACGTGAAGATGACAGTTATTTATTTTAATTTTGCTAACCCTTTTTGAAACCAAATGTTAAACCATGCAGTCTTGTCACAGTAGTCGAATCAGTACATAAGTTAGGGTCAGCTTAACAACCACGCCAACTAACATTTTATTAATGTGTTACATGGACCAAAACGGGTAATTTATAATCTGCAATTTTCCATTCTATCAAGACTAGACATTGGACGTCCAGAAAGCAAAAGGCGTGGTTTTCTTAGTATTGTCATAATATCGTCATACGTTATACAGCATCCCTCTTGCATCAAGCCCCTAGCACGTCTACGCTATTCCGTTAGCACTCGTCGAGAATAAAATTTAATAGGCTTACTAGCTGACTCGGCGAACTTCGTACCGCCCAAAAGTAATAATTTGCAATAAATTAAAATTGCGACTATAATTTGAGATTTAAACTATCCTATCTCTCAAGTAGGATCGAACTGCACATGGTGTGCGAATTTTATTATAATCGGTTAAGTGGTTTAGGAGTCCATTGAGGACAAACATTGTGACACGAGATTTATATATATTAAGATTGAAATTATATCGATATTTTTAGCCGATATATTTTGATTCGATATATCGATACATCGATACATAATAATCAATATCGAAATTCGTATCAAAAACGATATTTATTTTAATTATTAGCGGCATATCACGATCTAGCTAAATTCGTATCTGGAAAAATCGTAACTGGATCTCAGATTAACGATATTCAACATATCTATGATCTGTGCTGTATTTAGTTATTGTCTATGATTTGTAAATCTGTTTCGCTGGTGAATTGGTAGTGCTGAACTTCATTCTATTCTGTGAAAGTGTGTGACTGTCTAGTCTTGTTTACGAAAGATGGCATATGAGAGGCCCTGCAATCATTTTCATCATTAAAAAATAGGGTCTATTTATAGGGAGATAATTTTCGTTCCATTATTATTCGGCTTGTCTTTTTCGTGAGATACTGTGCAGTCATGTAGTGCAGCGGCAATTTGGTACTTTGTTAATTCTTTCTTTAATTATAATTTATATTGTTATTATTACTGTGCTAGGCTGACCTAAATATATTTTTGGGAAAATTGGTTCGATATATCGATATATCGATGTTTTTTTCGCGATATATCGAAGCCGATATTGATATTTTTTTAAATATCGATGTATCGATATATCGATATTTTTTTAGACTTTCGACATCCCTAAAATGTAATAGGTATTTCTGGAATTTGTCCAAACCAGTTCCTTCTAGAGATGTCCGATCTTAAACATTAATCAGTTATTGAATCCATATGGAACGTAAATCTGATCAATGAATCAATTGGATCAAAGGGTATTGGTTTTGGATATATATTTAAGTAATGAGATTTCTGAAAATCATATGAATATATTTTTTAAAAATACAAATAAGCCCAGTATTATATTGATTTTTGTTTAAAAAATCAGTATAATACTGGGCTATTACCTTACTATTTACAATTGAACTAAGTTAACAAATGTAGGTAGCGACGTCATTGACTGTAGAATTATGTTCATCTTGACCTGCACAAGGATAATAGTACTGATTCTGCGATGATTCTCTAAACCTAAACTTAAATTTGACAACAGTATACATATTCTTGTCATTCTCTAATAATGAAAAGGAGAGACTGATGTTAAATTTAGTTTTACGGAGAATCATGTCAAAGTTTATCCTTGTCATTAAAACTAAATTAACATCAATCTCTCCTTTTCATTCTGTATAGGGAATGACAAGGATACACTGATGTCAAATTTAAGTTTAGGTTTAGAGAATCAAGCCTGAGTCGACACCATTATATCACGCTCAGTTGGCATATTTTTTATAACCTTTTCGTACAATTTTGAAACAACCAGTGAAAAAAACGTTAAAATATTTATAATCTAATTAAATATTGGTAGTACAAAAAACGAAGCACGTGCCATGAATCGATTTACTAGAAATTCGATTCAAATCGCGCATCCTTAATTCCAAATTTATCCGCCGCGCTGCCTTCGTCGGCCATTTGCTTTCATTCTATCAAGCGTTTGGATGGTCGCTTCTGTTGTAGCGTCGCTTCGTGTAACTTAATTTGAGAACATAACACATTTGAATCTTGTGCTTGATACTTCTATAGCTGTAACTCCGGCTGATCTTTATCAAAAGTAAGTTTCTTGCAATTATACTTTCTCTTATATTCACTCATGAAAGAATGGTAGGTATTGATTTCATTCTGTCCAAATCAAAATCAATAAAGTGAAGAACCTCATTGAAAATGTCCTAAAATATTCCTACATTTTGTTTAATATGTTAGCATGAATGTTATACCTAAACTAAGGCCACACTGACCATACTATCAGTACAAATACTGCAAATGGTAATCACCACGTAGTAAAAAGAAGTACTTAGTGCTCTCGATCAATCGAAGCTTGCGTGGTATTTTTCGTGTTTGATTTAAGTATACCTACCTAATCAATCATTTTATTTGTTCATGTAGATAATGGCTAACCGAAGACCGCAGATTGGTGGTAACCGCCGTATGGACTTCAACCGCAATGATCGTAACAAGAACTTTGTTCGCGGAGGCGTCTCTCCGTGGCAGGGTGGCGGCCCCGGCGGCGGTTTGCCGAACCTCCTGCCCTTGGCCGGGGGCTCCACTGAGGCCACCTTGGCCTTAGCCAGCAACATCATCAACCTCCTGCAACCACGCCAAAATCCTGTCCCTTCCCTTCTCGATATGCCCATAAGAAGAGATTTCGGTCCCAATATGGGTCGGTTTGACCGTCCTTATGGACCTAATAGGGTAAGTACTTCATGTCAATCATCAGCTACAAAGATAAAGTTAAAGAAATGCAAATAATAATAATTTGTCATCACATCATACAATTAAATGGAATCACGTCTTTTCTGACCTGCTAAGGTTATTTTTCACATCTATCTTTGACACATTTTAATGATGCTGATTTAATTTGTTTTTTATTCTTTCATAATTTAATTCGGTGCATGTTTTTACAGCTTTAACAGATAATATTTGTCTTTAGTGTGTTTAAAGGTTATGCACACCTGACTCTTCGCATGAGTTACATACTCGTGCCTCGTTACAATTTAAACTTCAACTTTTCAGTGATGTTTAGTTGGCTCTACAAGCCATACTGTTTTCATACTAACATTGTATTCTGGTCAATTCCCTTTAGATGGGCAATCAGGGTAATTTCCGGCGTACGGGAAATTACAATCGTGCTGGTGAGCGTATCAACACCAATCGTAAACCATTCAGGCCCAATGATGGGCAAAGGCAACAAAACAGGAGCTCCCCGAAAAAGGATGCCGATTCTAAGGCTAAGCCTGTCAAAGAGAGGTAAGGACCCCAAGGTGATTTCCTTCAGGTGGTGACACCATTTTTCTGCAGTCACGGTAGTGACTGAACCCTGTACATATTCTATAACACCATTATCAATTACGTTCACCGGCCTAACTTATAGTTTAGCCTGATTGGCATACTACTCGAACTCAAAGATAAAAAAAAGACAGTGAACATTCTAGACTCTTCTTCATGACCATTTGTGTGGTCATGTCACAACATGAAATCTTCATATTTAAACAAATGTGGAACCAAATTTTATTTATGTCTCAACCTTAGTGGTTATGAATAATTATATTCTTCGTCACAATATGAAGGTTTCTTACAACCAGTCTTAATAATCCATTTGCACCTTCTAAGGTGAAGATATGTTTGCATGTCCATACAATTTTATCTGAACTCAGAAGCTGTTAAGACCTACCCATAATTTGCTAAATATAGCATTTCTGATCTGTCTGTTTAGTTGCTCTGTTAAATTGTATCTGGTGCTACAATATTTTCTGTAATAAAGATTCACTCTGTGATAAATTTGAAATTTCCCACTTATTTGGAAAAAATAAACTACATGTTTAGTCAATGACGACTAAACAAATTCTTGTATCATCAAAAATGAGCTTTTTCTAAAAGCTCTGTATAACCATATAATTTAATATGCCAAGTATAAACAGTGAACAAGAAGAGAAGAATGGAGAGCAAGAGCCAATGGAGCAGTCTGATGTGAAAGAAGAGGAAAAGGAGAAAGACAAGAAGGATGTGCCGAAGACACGTTACGATGACATCAATCCGCAGCTGCTGAAATGCCACATCTGCAATAAGAGCATGTGGGACGGGCGCTCGTTCGAGAACCATTTAAGTGGCCGAGCTCATGCCATCATGATGCAGAAGACTGCTGAGAGCTATGCTCTCACTGCTGACACCATGCGTCAGGAATTTAAGGTTTGTTTCAACTGTTTTTCATGTGCTGCACATGAATAGAATACATATTAGGTCCTTACATATGAAATTGGTGTTTTGTATGGGAGGAATATTATAAATTTTTTTTTGTTAAGTATATTTAATTAATTAAAGTATGCACCGTTGTTAGCTATGCACTTTTGCCATCTCATAGGTAGTTCATTGATCCCTTTACTAAAAAAACTATGGGAGCTAGAATCAATAAACTCTTTGAAGGCGGTTTAGACTGCCGCATTGAAGTTGAATTTTTTTCCTTGTAAAAAGTTGTCCACATTCTGGAAAAAATGGTAATTCTGAGTCAATTTTCGTTTCGGGCAGGATTTGGCTGGGTCTCCAGGGTTCAACAAATGCGACGAGCGCTTCCGATTATCGTACAGTATCCACTTTTTATCACAAGTAATAATTCAATATAAAATCCCTTCATTATTGTGTCTGTTGAGCAAAGTAACACAGCAGTTGACGCGTGTATTGCAAGTTCAATTCATGAGGTACCCATCGTTCAAGTTTTTTTACATTCCCGATTCGCTTCAAGTGGATTAATACAGTTATGTCACTTACTCCGAAGCCTGCAGCTATCTCTGAAGTGCTTAGTGATGGATCTGCTTCCACAGTAGCCTTTAATTTTTCATTTTCCACTTTGGTCTCCAGCCGTCCACAGGGATGGTTCTGAAGGTCGAAATTTCCAAAAAGAAAACGTTCATCATTATTCCATTAATCCTTCGAGTTGTTTCTGCAGTACTGGTGCCACGGTAAAATTCGTATTCGTAAATATACCGATATTTCATGTTCTCTATTGTGCGGTAATAAGCGACGCCAAAGAAAAAAAATTAGGAAAAAACAAATGAATGACTGTTTTCAAAACAGAAATATACCAGCTAAATGGATTTATAAATTTGAATTTGGAATTCTTAACCAAAGAGGATCTCCTATTTCAGTTCAAAGTGGTCAATACGACAAAACGCTAATTTTATATGTAAAGACCTAATATAAGGTTGTTTATGTATGCTCCTTTACTAAAGTCATGTCCAGAGACAACTTCACTACTATATCAATATTCATCACTAAAATAATAGGAACACTGCTTCTATTCTCACTTCTATTTTTATATAACTTTCTACACTTTTGTATTATAAATATTTAAAAATTCATTCTAATTGCCACAGAGGCACTATTTAATATAACTTGTTTCTATGTAAAAAGGGACTTTACCTCCTGATCAACCTGAATACAAAGAATTGAACTCTTATTCACATAGATTCGCGAGATGAAACGCTCCCGCAAATCCGGTATACAACCGGCCCGCGATTTCTACTGCGCTATGTGCGATATGTACGCGGCCGATGGCGCAGGCCATCGTACTAACGTCGGCCATCGCAAACTCAAGAAATACCTCCATCCCACCTGCACTTCCTGCCATATGGAGATGCCCAATAGAATTGAGTTGGACGAGCATAGACTCACCCCGGAGCATCTTCGGAATCTGCAGGACAAGCAGGGCACCATATCCAAGCCTAAACCTGAAGGTAAGACACATGTACATTCATTCATATACATATTACATTGCTGGACACCTCAATCTCAGGCAATATCCACACCCCACCCGCACCTCCTGCTATATGGAGATGCCTAATAGAATGAGTTGGATGAACACAGGCTCACCCTGGACTGACAGCAATCGGACTCCGGATGGTCGCAGAATCTACAGGGCAAACAGGGCAGGCGTCAAGTCTAAATCTGAAGGTAAGACATGCATACATACATCCAAGCCCTGTAAACTAGGTACTGACTAGGACTAGTGAACCACTTTATGGAGGCCATACACACTAGGTTTTGCATGTACATGCATAACCGACATGCAAACCCTAGCGTGTATGTGATAAAACTGTACAGTTATCGGTGCATATACATGCAACCGAACAAATATCAAAATTGATATTTTATGCCGCTCGGTTATGCATGCGCGCGAGCATAACCGAGCGTTTGTGGCGTCCGGCGAGCTTGCCTGTCACAGTTCTCAGTTTTTAATTGTTGCGACGGCGGAAGGTCCGAGCACCATCGCGTCGTTTCGAAAATGGCTAGTCGCAAGCGCAATGCAACATTAGAAGAATTTATAGAAAGTTATAAATCGGAACCTTGTCTTTGGCGTAAAGTGCAAAGAATACCAGAGATTGATAACTAAGGTCAAGGAATTAGTGCCCACAGCTACGAAAGAAGATGTGATTAAAAAAAATATTCCATTCACAGTACTTAATAGGTGTTCTACACACACCGTCACGTAGCTCAACTGAGAGTAATGGCAAAACTGTACATGCAAACCCTAACGTGTATGTGCAATATGAAACTCAGTTATGCATGTCGGTTATGCATGCACGGCTAAAACCATCATGCAAAACCTAATGTGTTATGGCCTCCATTAGAGGTAGAGCATAGCAGATTTTCTGCTTATGGAAGACCTCAGTGAAATAACATAATGCCTGAGATACTCTGATAAAGCAAGCGTCTATCTAAGGATTGGTGGCTGTTTTTTTTAATTTTTTTTTATCTTAATGCCTGTTACTGGTGGTAAGATGTTCAACAGTAGTCATCTGTATGTCTTCTTCTCCAGTTGGAAAAATCTGCTATGTCTACCTTTCTTAAAAGTAACATGTATATAAATAATGGTGTTGATTCTACTATGATTCTCTAAACTTAATATTGTCAACAGTGTATCCATGTCATTCGCTATACAGAATGAAAAGGAAAGACTGATGTTAAATTTTGTTTAAAGTTTAGAGAATCATGCCAGAATCGACACCATCTTGATTTGCAAGAACATAAGCAAACCCCTTTTTTTACATAAATACAAATACAACAGAAGGTTACTTCACCCTGGGAGTTAACTTTGTCACAAACCACTACAGAATTTTCTACAATTATCAAGTGTAGGTTACAGCATTCGCTCACTGTTGATAAGAAGCTTTCGCCCAGGGTTTATTTTGTCAACTTTTAACTCCAACCCCTGATATTACATGTAAGTTGAGTAAAGATAGCTGATACGGCCGAAAAATGAACTTGTCCAGCCATCTTAGCTTAGGGGTCCATTAATTACTAGGCTCGAAAGTGGGGGGCGAGGGGTTCGGAAAATATCACGTTATTAACACAAGGATGGCGGGGGGTATAATGAGATATCACGTGTAGTTATTTTTCGTTGAACACACGAATAGGCCTGGACTTACTCTTGCCAGGCCGCAATTTAAAGATATTGGGTAAATTTCATTATACTTTGTACTAACAAAAAAATAATGTCAACGGCCCACAATTCTAAAGTGATACTTCGTTTCTTAAATAATCTAACATTAGGTGGTATGGTGGCATAAGGCATAGGGGAATGGAGCAGCGCACACATCACTCATATACAGGGTTAATTTTAAAACACCAACAACCTCTTAGGGGGTGATTCTACCCATCAACATGAACAACTTTTATTATGGGACCAACTCTGGGAAATCGCGAAAAAAAACAGCTGTTTCATACATTTGGGTCGATTAGGCTGATGCATTTTTGTATGAAGTTTTGTAAGAGGTTATTGGTGTTTTAAAATTAACCGTGTATATGTATAATTTTGGGTCTTTCATTTTGTTAGGCAAAAACTAATTTATTTGTTTTTTAGCCAATATTGCACGCCCCCCGAGTCTCAATGATATAAAACTTATCCATGCCAGATTTCAAGAAGATTGTATAACACTTAGAGGTTGATCACTTTTGAAATAAATTACAGAATGATGTTATTTTCAATTTTTATTACTTTTACTAAAAGAACTACATAATTATTACAAACAAAAAATCTAATTTAAATACAAATTAAAATAAGAGGGCATCACCGTCGTGCTACATTAACCAACTTTGTAACACACAATTCCTTCTGTCGTTACACTTTTTTCCTGTAATTTTCACGATTCTTAACAACCACTGATTTAATTCAAAGAAATCCCTTTCTCTCTTTCTGCCTGATCATTTACAACCTTAGAGAATCCACATATTTTTTCATTGAATGATCAGAGTATTTGGTCACGTCACGTGGAACAATCAATTCCAAAACGTCTTCTTACTTTTAGTAGAATTGAAAAGGCTCAGGTCAATTCCTTCAAAAGTTAGTTATTTGTCCCCAATCTGTTTTATTGGCATCTATACATATAATAAAATGGAAGGAAAGTCAAAACTGCACATTGAATATTTTTTTAAAGAATACTTGAGATGTGATCTACAATCCACACCGAAGCCAAAAATATAGTTTTCAGAATTTTTGTCTGTTTGTCTGTATGTATTTCCGGGATAATCTCAAAAAGTACTGCACTGCATTTGAAGTAAATCAAATTTTGCACGAATATTATTAAGAAGTCGGGTCAACATATAGGCTACATATTAACACTATCACCTACGGGGAACGAGCAATGAACCTTTATTTCTAACTAACTCCACGCGTACGAAGTCGCGGGCGGCCGCTAGTGTTAAATATTTTAACATATTTTTCGTGACATCCTGAATAACACATTCAGCTAAAAAGTTCAATCCTATGTTTGTTTCTGCGTGACAAATATCGTAAGGTGTTTTATTGTTTGGTAACTAACTGCAAGAGCAAGACTCCCATCGCGACGGGTGTGAACCAGTTCGTAATGGTCGTCGACGCAGGCGGCAGGCCGCCTTCCCTATTTACTATGCTTCGTCCTCCGATTAAAACCTCCGATTCAAAAGTTTCGGAACTGAAGGTGTAATAATAATCGGAAATTCCAACTTAACGGAATCGGAGTCTAAGCTCCGTAACATCCCTGATATTTATTCATTGAACCTCCTAGGTAATGAAGTGGTAGTTGTTATAACTTTCAGGTCTTCTATTGGGAATCCATTTTCAGAACATTACGAATGTAGTAAACTTCTGTCACTCGTTTCGCATCAAGAAACTCATGAACCGGAATCTCATTATCCTGTTAATTAAATCATATATGACTTTTTATCAAATAAATTAAACATTCTTTGGAACTTCCGGCAAATAGAGGATATCAGGACCTCACGATGGTGATTGGCATCAATTAAAAAAGAAGAAATATATCAGAAAATATACTAACTCTACAAAAAATCCGAAAAATAGATGACAGTTTTGAGTTAGTGAGGGCTTTCTAGATTAGAGGCAGGGATAAATTTTAGATTAGAATCTCGCTCTTTTATGAAACGGTTGTTTTATTCGTTTAATAATTTCACCTCCGTTTAAGGATTCTAAACATACATTATTACAAAACATTCCAGTATAACGTACATACTGGAATGTCACTACTGCGAAAAAAATTAGCCAACATGTGCAACCTCTAAATATTCTTCAATCTTCGTGAAATTTGGCCTAAATGTCTTCTGGACTAGTGAGACTCCAGGGAAAATAAATGTCACATAATAATTAAAGTTTTGGAAAAATGAAACATTCTATATACATAGTCGTGTGACGCTCGTGACGCTTTTTCGTATCATTTTTCAAGTTACACCCCGTCTAAAAAGAAGTTTTCCTTTAAAAAATACTAAATTGTGGGTATGAGATGAAGAGACATAAAAACTCGTCGCATATCACCAGGTCCGAGGCGGGGCGGGCGGGTTGACGAATAAGTAGCTTGTGAATAAAGTATTTTGTATCATTGTACAAAATACTTTAATCACATTTTTGATGCATCCATATACTCCTGGTTTAATATTTTCGCCGTCGATCAGTGTCTCGTCCCTTACCCCTATAGTACTAGCACTGCTTATGACTATTCGTATTTGATTTTATATAATTATATGACAACAGTATTTCATTCTGTTTATTAAATAGCTTTTATGCGTTTTTACAATTTAAAATCAGCAGGTAGGACACACGAAAAGGAAAATCCAATGGATCCGATTCTGACATGATTGTCTAATCTTAAAACTAAATTTATCAGCAGTCTATCCATTTTATTCTTTATAGAACATGATAAGGACATACTATTGTCAAATTTAGTTTAAGGTTTAGTTAGAGTATCGTGCCAGAATTAGGCCCAGTATATTCTGAATGTGCTATATAAAAAATGAAAAATTGAGGAGACTTGCCAAATTTACAAATAGCAAATACGAATAGCCATTTAAACGGTCAGCATTAGATATATCAAGCGAGTGGTGTATTGCAGTGATGTTGATATCGACTCTGTCGATGGAGCAGTCGTACTTGCGCGACGACCGCCACCGCTGGCGCCACGGAGATCACCACGAGGATCGGCGCAATCGAGACAATGAACATCCTAAGGTATTCATATTCAATACACCACTTTCATTTCAATCTATATTATCTATACTGTTATTTCCACTGACCACCCATCTTATGACTGGCCAATCGCCTAACGAAAGTGTGGCATTGAGGTTCTCTGGTCAAGTTAAACTCGTTTTTAGTTTGCTTGCTGTTTTTGGATTGAAATTTCTCCTTAGTTTATGGACTTCCAAGTTCCAACAGTATATTTATTTACATAGCAGAAATGATGTGCCAAAGGCAAAGAAAAAAGTATATGATATTTTTCTAATACTGAAATGAGAGGTTATAGCCATGCCCAGCTGCCAAAAATCTTAAAGAAAATGCAATAGGATCTCAAACATCCTCTGAACGAAAATGTCCTATTCTAGAATGAGACTGAAGTCAAGAAAGAGCCGGAGGGAGAAGAAGGGGAAGAACCTAAGGAAGGCGAGGCGGAAGTTAAGCAGGAAGAGACCTTGGACTCTGAGAACACCGTGCTCGACTACAAGGAGGGAGACGATCTCTCCCATGTAACCAGGGATATGTATCCTGCTTACAGGTAATAAAATAATAATATTTGTTTTTTATATCAGTTATATTCTATTTTGTATTGGTAACACGGTATAATGACTTCTTAATGTGATTAATATTTTTTTTTTTTTGGTATTATCTGCAATCAGTAATTTACTATAAGCAGATGTCATGAAAGTTGCTGTCGTGTCGAGCGTATCCTCCATTGAGGATATCTTCTCGTAATTAATTATATGCTGGAAAAAAGCTTATGGTAATGTGTCCCTTCTCTTCAAACGTTTCACATAGCCACGAGTAGTGAGTCTGGTTGCAAGTGTATTTGGGTGATTTTCGAGCCGGTTTCGATATTTATTTGTGGCAGACTGTATTTCTTTTACCACAGTGGTTATACTTAGATTTTCATGGATCTCGGAATTGGTGATAAACCATGGCACATTTGCTATTTTTCTGAGGACTATATTATGCATCCTCTGAAGTATATTAATGTTAGATTTGCTTGCACTCCCCCAAAGTTCGATACCATATGTCTAGGATGGTTTTAGTATTGATTTGTATATTAGGAATTCGTTGTCCATTGATAGTTTGCTGTTCCGGCCTTTTTTTTTATTACGCAGGTAAAAAATGCTATTTACAGACGACGGCGCCTTTAAGAGGCACACCGCCGAACGGACCTCACACATGGCTTCCGCAAGTCTTACGGGCGCCCCAGTGGCTGTCCACCGAGGACCCCGCAACTCTTACGGGCGCTTTACGGCATAATATCCGCTAAAAAAGTCCTGCGAATACCCTCTAAGCTGCTTAGCGCGAAGCCGCGGGATCCCCGTTTACTGATTCCTCCGCGTCTCCGCACCTAGCAGCCTCCCGGCCTAGCCGGGGCTCCACGGCAGGGGTCTCCCGGGGTATCACGGGGACCCCGCAGACGTGCGCAGGTAGGCCCGCGCGTGGGGGTTGAGTACGCGGCCTAATGCCCACCGTACCGCCCCCCGTCCGCTGCGGAGGGCTACTTGGGCGTGCCCGTGTAGCTCCCTCCGCCGCCCCCCTCTTTGCAGGACAGAACTACAAGGGGGGGCTGCCGTCACGAGGTCCGTCGGTGGCCGGCACAGCCAACGCCATGCCGGTCAGCGAGGGACCCCCCGGGTAGGGTCATGGGACGGGCGCAGCCAGGGCGCGTCGCCGTCCTCTCCTACCCGTCCTCCTTCGGCGGGAGGGAGCGGCCAGAGGATCATCCTCCCGCTCCCTTTCGGCCGCCTCCTTCTGCGAGATAACGTTCTCGCAGAAGGAGGCTGCCGCCTCCCATGCCCTGTCACTGCGGAGCATGGCCTCCACCATGCTCCGCAGCGAGAGGGCTCCGCATCCCAGCGCCGCAATCAGCTCATGGCGCTGGTGTCGCCAGGCCGGGCACTCCAATAAGGTGTGCTCGACCGTGTCGTCCGGGGCGCCGCAATGATGACATTGCGGCGTCTCCTCCCGATGTGCGACACGGTGCAGATAGTGACCGAAGCATCCATGCCCGGTCAAGATCTGCACCATGCGGAACGTGAGGCCGCCGCGCCGGCGACCCAACCATTCCTCCAACACCGGACGAATGGCTTCAATCGTCCGGTGGCCGGCGCTTGCATGGGCGAGTGCCTCATCCCATCGCCGCAAAGCTTCGCTCTGGGCGATGGAACGGACCTGCCTCAGCTCTGCTGGGGCAAGTCTTTCACCCCGCTCCCTGGCCTCGACCCGACCTCGATGCATTTCTGCCATAAAATATTCCTCGAAACTCCATCGGGGATCTAGTACCAGGCCTAGGTACTTCATGCTTCCCTCGACCGGTAGTCGGACCCCCTCCACCCGGATCGGCTCCTCAGAGAGGCCCCCGGGAGGGAGCATTCTCGGGGGCTGGAACGGACCCGGGTCAGGGAACAGAGTCCCCAATTGCTGTTCCGGCCTAGCATCCAGTAGATGTTCTTATGTTTAGTTTAGCAGGCATTAGGTGGTGCTTAAGCGACTTTCTTATTATGATTGCTGAACCAGCGTGGCCAGTCCCATCTGGGTGCAGGGTGACATAGCAATTATAATTTCTAAACTTCAGGTTCTTTGCAGAGGTGCAGTGAGCTTCAGATATCAGCAGCACATCAAGATTTTGTTGAATCATTAGCAATTCTGTTTCATATTTTGTTTGGAATCAAACCATTTATGTTCCAGGTTGCCATTTGTATTGAGTTCATTTTATTAGTTTGTCTAACAGGCGTGTTATGAGCATCATCATAGTACTCATTTGTTGAAGGATATTGTCAAACTTTTCATTCTGCTTTATTAACAATTGTTCTAAACTTTATTAACACTTGATAAATTTGGTAAATTATTGGTGTCCTCTGAAATGACAGTTTTGTTTTGTGTGACTTGAGCATACGTTTCTCTTTCTGCTATTTTTTTTGCTGTCTCTTTAGGATCCCTTGAAATCGCCGTTTCGTTTGTTCTTGAAGTTGGGGGTTTAGTGCAGGTAGGCTTCTTTGCGTGTTTGTTGGTTTTGATCGCCTTTTTAGAATTTCCCTGTACACTTCACAACCTTTATAATTTGCCGGGTGTGGACCATTGCGCAAAGCACATTGAGCTGGAGTGGTACGGTCTATTTTTTGACATTCAGATGTTTTGTGTGATTGTCCACATTTTACACAGCAGTATGGGCGCATACAGTAATTTTTCGAATGGCCGTTTATTATTTGCTTTGGTAAATCCCAATTCCATGGCTATGTTAGGCTTCCTTTCAATAATTATCTAAAAACAAACTCGAAGTAACAATCACATGAATGACAAATAAATCAAATCTATGAAAACGTCAACCACAAGTTATGTTTTGCACGGCGTGACGTCAGTCTTTCTTATTGGTGTTTACTGTCACGTGAGCCTATACTTATTTTACCGAATTTATTTTATAAAAATAATAATAATCTTTGATTATTATGATAAATAGCTTTATTTTTTGTTATTTGTTATATCATATTTCATATTTAGAAACTGTTACTCATCCGATTTATTGTTAGTTGACACAAGCCTATTATGTGGGAGAGGAAGCGATCAGGTGGCCTATTGTTAGTACAATATGTATTTTAGTACTGCACATCGTTTTCTCTATTTATAGTGTTGTAAAGTTTATGTTTTGTAAATATCACTTATCTGTATGAAATGCTGATAAGTTTCTTGCGCCCTTTCTTCTTATCGACTAAAAGATGTTCTGAATGGGTAATAGGATGGAATGGGTTTAACAATTCAAAGGAACTCTTATCAATCAATTCGAATAAAGTATATTTTCATTTATGCCAGTTTTGTGTAGTCTCTTTATCTGTGAACACTTTTTTTGATCTATTTTTTTTTCTATTAAGCACGGAACGCGGAGTCGGCGAATCTTTCCTCACCGAGTTCAAGTGCATACAATGCAAACTGTGCCGCAAGTTGTTGGACGGGCCGGAGACTGCTGCCGTCCACCTGAAGACCTGGAGACACCACCAGCTGTTTCTGCGCCTGTTAGCCGACAAGTCCAAACCTGCACAGGTGATTACTGGTCAATATAATGTATACTGGAGGACTAGTTCTACCTCAAGACGTGGAGGCACCACCAGCTGTTCCTGCGTCTGTTAGCGGACAAGTCCAAACCTGCACAGGCGAGTACTGGTCAATATAATGTATACTGGAGGACTAGTTCTACCTGAAGACACCACCAGCTGCTTCTGCGCCTGTTAGCCGACAAGTCCAAACCCGCACAGGCGAGTACTGGTTAATATAATGTATACTGGGGGACTAGTTCTACCTCAAGACGTGAAGATACCACCAGCTGTTCCTGCGTCTGTTAGCGGACAAGTCCAAACCTGTACAGGCGAGTACTGGTCAATATAATGTATACTGAAGGGACTAGTTCTACCTCAAGACGTGGAGACACCAGCAGCTGTTCCTGCGTCTGTTAGCGGACAAGTCCAAACCTGCACAGCTGAGTACTGGACAAAATAATGTAATGTATTATGGGGTTTAGTTGACGTGCATTCGTAACAAGTTGCTGTACGGATCGGCCACTGTTGAAGACCTGGAGATACTACCAGGTCTTCCTGCGTTTGTTAACCAACAAGTCCAAGCTTGCACAGGTAAGTACTATATAATATACTTTCATGTATACTTTCAGACCAAATAAAAAAGTATAGATAGAGCGCTGCAAACAAAAAAGTGGCACCGGTTAAAACAAAGCACTGACATGTACGTACACAAATACATGCACACAAAATCAATGAAACTAAGCCCAAATATGTAAGCGGAGCAACGACTGACTTATGTCTACGTACAGTCGTACACAGCAGGGCTTAGTTTTAACTGGTGCCGCTTTTTTGTTCACAGGGTCTCCATATGTTTTTTTTTTTACTTGATCTAAATGTATACCCGGGTCACTTGTGTTACAAAAGACATGCTTTTTTTTATGTAGTGCCAGATGAATATAATGGGAGAAGAGAGGTAGGATTTACCGCTCGAATTGGTGCGCCCATCTGGGGAAGTAACCTCCACCTTACAGAAGACCACAGTAAAATAACACTACCTTCTTCTTGCAACGGGCGTTTCCGCAACTCGACGTCCTTATGGCGCCTGATTTGCTTGAGGAGGGTGTATAGCCGGAATCACTCCAGCCAACCCAGCTCCGCAAGGAACACCCCTAGGGCCTTCTCATTGGTGACTGCCTCTTGAAGGTTTCCCGGTGAGCCGAGGTATTTCGCTCGGTATTCGGCTACTCCGTTGCATTCCAGCAGAACGTGAGTAACTGTTTCTTTTGCCTCCATGCATCCTCTGCATAGGGGGCTGTCCGTGACACTTAAGCTAAAAAGATGTCTGTTAAAATGTGCACGTCTGGTAATAGCACCTGTTACCATGCGCAATGTAGGTTTGCTTAGCTGTAGGAGAGTTTTGGAGAAGGCAGCGTTCACCCGTGGCAAAGCAAGCTTGGCCTTTTTATTGACGAGACAGCTTACCGGTATCGGGACGATTGGTTCGGGACCTGTTAACAGTATCTTTTGGTGGTATTGTGTTTCTGTCGGTAAGTCAGGTACCAGGGTTCCAATGTGGGATTGTTTGTTTTACTTTTTTTACGTAATACATTTTTTGGATTGTCTTACTATTCAGCATAGGCCTCCTCTGTTTAGGAACAAAATAGCAAAAATCTAAATCCTTATTAAAGTAATTATATTTTAAAAGCAGGAACAAGCTCAAGACGCTGGTAAGCGTTCAGCTGCCAATGAGGAAGAAGATGGCAACTGGAAGAGACGCAAGACCTCTGACAACGATCACGGTGAAGAGGCCCATGATGAAGAGAATGGACACGATGATGCTTCTATAAAAGGTAAACAAATAATTTAATTAATAATGCATTACACAAAGTTTGAAGTTGTAATTTGTGTACATTTAATTTTTTTGTTTTATTTTGGATTTTTATGTTACTGCTTATTTAACTTGGGTCAATAAAGGATTTTCAATATATTGTATACAGAGCCTCAGAGCGAGCAAGATGTCGAAGGTGACGTAGAGATGCCCAACGCCGACGACTTGGAAGATTGGGAACAAACTGTCGACGAAGTGCTGGAGGACGAACGGAACAATGGTGAGAACTTTTTGATGTGTAATATCTTTCGTCTCGCTTTCCTGCAATTTGTGGAAGTGATTTTGTGAAATGGGACGGAAGTGTGTAACAGGAAGTCGCGAAAGCGCGCTCTTTTTGATTTAATTTTTGAACATAATGTTCAAATGGCTTATTCCTTATGTAGTAGGTTTTATTTCTTTTTTTACTAATATTAGGTGAGGTTTCAAATGTTACACCTCATACGCGACTACTGTAAGGCTCGCTCGTTTTTATTTTTATATATGTAGATCACTCCACCTGTCCCCGACAGCAATAGCCTAATCAGCACTTGGCACATTCTACTTAATACATGTATAGGGAAAGCCTGTGCCCCAGCAGTACATTATTAGGCTGATGATGATATCGTCAATGTTTTGTAGAAAGGTCGAAAAATCCATTTTTCGGCAACATAGTTTTATAGTAAGAAACTGGTTTATATTTATTTATTTTATCTCTATTTGAACTGATCTGTATTAACGGCGAAGGGTATAAACCCTCAGAACCATGAAAAATGCATAATGTGGCGTGACTTCATGGCGAATATCATATACTTGTAATGAATAAAGGCCTAATGTGGCATTTTCGCCTTTACAATTTTTATCATCATATAGTTTTCGAAAAATGGCTTATTCTCCTTTTCTACATCGTATTTAATTAAACGTTTTTGTGCATTGCAATATGTCCAAAATTATATTGAAAAACCAGAACACAGCTCTCGTACAGTGTTTTGTAAAAGTGTATTATTATTTTGCCAATACAGCTGCAGTGTTAAAAAATATATTGAAAAGTATATTGAAAAATTATCACGCTATCACCTACGGGAAACAAGTAGTGAACCTTTATTTCTAACTAACTCCACGCGTACAAAGTCGCAGGCGGCCGCTAGTTGACAATAAAAACGTTAAAATTTCCTTCCACACCAGACAATGCCGCCAACGAAGAAGCACAGGCCGAGGCTGAACCCGAACCTGAACCCGAGCCGGAGCCCGAACCGGAACCGGAGCCCCCAGTGGAAAGGAAACAAGCGTCCCCTCCCCCCACCCCCTCCCGCGCCCGCGGCAGCCCCCGCGCCCGCGCCAGGGGCAGGGGCCGCCCCCGGGGACGGTACTAATTGATCGGGTGACTGTATGCATCAAGACCCACCTGCAGCTAATTTGCTAAATCTCGATTCAACTAAAACTAGATTCGACCCATTGAAAATTGTTGAAATATCAATGCAACGATAAATATCCTAGATACAACATCACGAACAAAATCGTGGGCGAAACCTGTCTAAAAGGTACATTGGACGATCCACGGAGCGAACGGAGCGATTTGAATATCACAAATATTTTCTATTAAATTAGTTTATAGTGACTATTACAACAAAATTTACTTCAAATGCGTTAAATTCACAAACATTGATTAGATACCTGTTGAAAAAGCGACACTTTACGTACTATTAGTATTTTTTTCGCATTTTTTCACGAAGCTCTGCGACATGTTGAATTTTCATCGATCTGCGCGTGACTGTGAACCAAGAACTGTGCTTGAGTGGAACATATTTTGAGCGCACGTGGTGTATCTAGGGTATTTAATATCGTTGCGTCAATGTCAATTTGACATAATTTTATGAGCTAAATCCAGTTTTAGTTAAATTAAGATTTACCAAATTTTTCCTGCAAGTGGATCTCATGGCCGAAATACACATGTCCATGTAGCTGACACACTTGCATGTAAGCTACTTGCAAACAACTTTATACATACCGTTAACAAGCATGCAAGCTACTGCTCCGTTTTACGGGCATGTGTATTTATCCCATAACTCATTTCAGCTATTCACTAGTCTATTTGTTTGATATTTGTCATTTTGACAGCAGATTATCCCATAGAGGTATAAGCATAGAGTGGAGAAGACGGCTCTAAAAGTGTCCGGCTAGTAGAAAGAGAAAGAAGATGAAAGACCGCTAGCTATCACTCTCTCTTGTAACGCATGCGCAGTCGTCTGTCTAATAGTTGGTCCAAGCAACACATCGAAATAGTAAGATGCTTACGGTTGCCAATGCGCATGCGCGATTAGAGAGGGAAAGTTAGCGGTCTCTCATCTTCTTTCTCTTTCTATTAGAGGGACACTTTCACTTGTAGTAGAGTCTATATCTCCCCTACTCTATTCTTATACCTCAATGGATTATCCTCATCAATTACAGTCTATAGACAGTAAAAAAGAGGAACAGTACCCTTAGCACGAACCAATATCAAATTCAAATAGTTTGCGACTGATTTTTAGTTCTCATTACGTCTCATATGGCGCAGCTGTTCGAGTTTCCATACAAAATTTGACTATGACATTTCGCACTCGCACACTATTCGAATTCGATATTGGTTCATGCTAAGGGTACTGTTGTCAAGTTTACAAATAGCAAACCCGAGTAGTCAAGTTAAGTGCCCGCATAAGTATTTAGGCCCACTTGCAACAATTTTGTTAAATCTCAATTCAAATACTACTAGATTAAATAATAGGAATGTCCAACTGACATTGACATAGAAAGAGTCAATGTTAGTTGGACATTCCTATATAGACTAAATTCAGACTTGGTTAAATAGAGATTTAGCAAAATTGATTTAAGTAGACTTTAAATGTTAGACAAAATTACCTCACAAAACTGGTAATTTTGAAATGTTCAAACTAGCGCCGAATGTTAAAATTGCGATTAATGCTAAGCGTCAGCTGACACCAAAACCCGGCATGACGCAAAGCTGCGCGCACATTTTAAATGTTATTTACTACACGAAAGGATACACATTTCATTGTTTCAATTTAGAATACGTTCGCCTTTCGGTGTGTGCTGACGCTAAATTGTGGTATCAATATTCCATATTAAAAACAGCCTTCCAATACGTTTTTTTTTATTATTATAGATAGGTCCTACAAAGGACTCCACCCCACCTGATGTTAAGTGACGGTGAAGTCAAGATACGACGATAGCTGATACAGTAGTTCTACCTGAATTCACATACAGTTGTTTTTATAAGTATGACATATAAAAATAAGAGATTCGATTAAAACTACATTCACTATAATTAGTATTTGTACTTGTAATACTTTTATAATTTAAGTACATTGAAAGTGGATGAATCAAGCTTAAAATTAGTAATAAAAAAATTGATAATGATTATTAATATTATCCTTTATTCTGTATTTTAATGTCTAGTGTGTAGGTATTCTTTACTTATTTCATTTTGATTAATTCCTTACTGTGATTTCAACGGAGTAATTTAAAATTATAACGGCAATATTTGAGATAGCACTGGACATGTTTATCCTGAAAAGCAAAATAAAGAGAAAAACTTGGTGCTTCTTATACTTCAACGAACTATTGGCCACGCTACAGCTGTCGCACTCACACACTTATCTGCCCATACTTTCACGCGTTCAACGTCCAATTCATTCTCTATGTTATTCTGAATATTATGACAAACATTACTAACAAACAAGACTATGTCTTTATATGCATTCATAATGAAAACTTGATTCGACAGTTTAATTTCATTACACATACTTAACACTTGATATGTATCATTATTTTGTTTAGATTAGATTTAACCTAGAAAAAATAAATGAAAATGTATTTAAAAAAAATCAGAGAAAAAAATCTTAGATAAGAAATAAATGTAAGAAATATTATTATTGATTACTTAGGCAGTAGGACAATATACTTTCACAACTTTGATTATGTGGTATATGTTCTTTAGTATATTTAAACCTTATAGATTGTAATTTAACATTCTTATTATTTTACTTGACCCATGTTTGTAATATTGGAATCCAAAAGGGATTTTTGTGATCTATTCTCTGGTTCCAGAATGCTGACTTTATTTTCCTGATATAGAGAGTAATATTATCGAAGAGTCTCTTGGTTTTTCTTCTAATCATTCACAAAAGAAATTTGAATACACCATTTGACTTCAAATTATATAGAATAGGGTTTGCAAAATTACTTTAGTGTAGGTGATGAAGATTAGCAATACTGAGGGTCAAGGAAAACAAATGCAGAGATAAACAGGATCAGGATAGATAACGTAAAGACACACAATATACAATAAGAAAAGTTCTATGTGAATCAAATAACAATACTGAACTAGTAGTTACAAGCCCTTTTCTTGCGCACGCAGTATCGCAAATTTCCAAGAATTCCCACTTCGACTCTGCATTGGTGTCTTAACCCTCGTAGGTACTTTATACTCGTCTTAATATTTCTGGGTAGCATATACCCTTACGATATTGTTTTGATTAGTTTATAATACTTCATTATCTCGTATAGTGAAATAAATGATTTGGTCAATTAAAATTGTTGTTTTATTTGGTTTTCAATTACAAGAGCATTTTAACCCGTCTCTGCCGAGAAATAATCTTACCACTCCCGCGGGGCAAGGTGCCTCGAGGCAGGTTGGTTGTTGTCACATAACGACATCTAATGAAAGAGACTCAGAGGTCCTTCCTGCCTCCTTGGTAGAAGCGAGGGCAGATAGATATACGTAGCACATTGTGTTATTTCACCTCAAAATTACCACTCCCTTGATTAAAGGTGAATCAGATAAAGCTCTTCATTCTAAGCGCAAGAGTAAAACTCGCACGATTCTAACTATAAGTTTCGACGAAATCCCGGTTTTTCTTTTTTTTGTACCACATTGTGAAAAAGAAATAAAAAAAATTGTCTAAACTATTACAGTTATTTTATTTTTTACATTGTATTTCAAAAGGTATTATTTTTATCCATATTATGAGTCTTCTCTGGCTGCCCTAGAGCTTGTAGGAACCGAGAAATCGGCGATTTAGTGATTTTCGTTTTTAATTTTTTGTGCTCATGTTATGCAATATTAAAACTTATAATTTAGTTCAAAATGTAGCTAATGTAGACTATCAACTCAAAAAATAACAAGCTTTAACTCGGTGGTATATCGGAAATATTAAGAATTTAAATTTGTGGTGTCCCACATTTTGAAGACTTAATTTTGAAAACGTAGTTATGCTACTTTTTAAATATTATACTATAATAACTATATAAATACGTTGTTATTATGTTATTTACTATTTATATAATATTCTAAATGTGTTTGGTATGTTTGTTACATAATCATCCACTTTTGTGGGCCAACTTGTTTGGATGAAATGTGGCACACAGGCATTAAGTTCTTCCCTATTAAGTGCAAATAAAAAAATAAATCTGTTTAAACATTATCTGTCGTAAACACACTGTCTTCGTTATGAAGAACAGTTGTGAATTCATTTTCTTCACTTTCTATGCATGCAGTTTCGTCGTCGACATCACTATTATTGTCATATAAACATCCCGAACTGTCCGGTTTTAATAAATTTATTACAGCCTGTGGCAGTGGCATTCTCATTTAGTTATTTTCACGATGTTTTAGCCGTATAGCCGATATCACAGGGTCGGATGACTCGAGCGCCCTGTGAAATAAGTCGGTCATGGTATGAACCCTAGAATCTTTCCGGCTGTGATGTTCTCTGTCCTGACGCTAAAACTTGTTCCTGGAATCTCCTGCCCGTTCGGAGAGTAGTCCAATGTGTCTGTAATAAATTTATTAAAACCGGACAGTTCGGGATGTTTATATGACGATAATAGTGATGTCGACGACGAAACTGCATGCATAGAAAGTGAAGAAAATGACTTCACAACTGTTCTTCATAACGAAGACAGTGTGTTTACGACAGATAATGTTTAAACAGATTTATTTGTTTATTTGCACTTAATAGGGAAAAACTTAATGCCTGTGTGCCACATTTCATCCAAAAAAGTTGGCCCACAAAAGTGGATGATTATGTAATAAACATACCAAACATATTTATAATCTTATATAAATAGTAAATAATATAATAACAACGTATTTATATAGTTATTATAGTATAATATTTAAAAAGTAGCATAACTACGTTTTCAAAATTAAGTCTTCAAAATGTGGGACATTGTCCCACAAATTTAAATTCTTAATATTTCCGATATACCACCGAGTTAAAGCTTGTTATTTTTTGAGTTGATAGTCTACATTATTAGCTACATTTTGAACTAAATTATAAGCTTTAATATTGCATAACATGAGCACAAAAAAATTAAGAACGAAAATCACTAAATCGCCGATTTCTCGGTTCCTACAAGCTCTAGGGCAGCCATAGAAGACTCATAATATGGATAAAAATAATACCTTTTGAAATACAATGTAAAAAATAAAATAACTGTAATAGTTTAGACATTTTTTGAAGTTATACTTCTTTAGCCGCGTTATGAAAAAATTATGAGAGTGAAATTTTCATCACTGTAACACAAAATTTTAACATAATGAAGTTAGCCGCGGGCGCGTTATTTGTAATATTTTATTTTCCAAGTGACCGTGGCACAGTGGGTGAAAAAAAGAGGTCCCCTTTCATAGGATTTTTGAAAAAATAAAAATGTATATTATCCGTTTAAGGTATGCGGTTTTATTGGACATATCAGTACATTGAATAATAAAATAGTTTGGGGAATTTCCTTTTAATCTAACACCATAAAGCACGGGCTTTAGAGTTGCAAATGTATGAAAACGGAATTTGTTTTGCTCATAACTTGTCTCGGTCTTCTACGGTCAAGCTGAAACTAATAGGGATTATTACCGGGTCTGTTACGAAGCCATGTGACCTTTGACCTTCACCCCGGACGGCCCCGTTCAAAAGATACGAATTTTTCAAAATGCTTATTAGGGTAATTTTGCTTTACGGGGTTATACAATACAATACAATACAATACAAAACACTTTATTGAACACCACAGAATACATTACAATAAATACAGAGCCATTTAAATTAAGTGTTACAATGGGCGGCCTTATCGCTAAAAGCGATCTCTTCCAGACAACCTTTGGATGGAGAGGATTAGAAGGAAGTGGGAGAGACGGCGGCGTAAATTTCAATGTAATTTATTAATATATACATATACATACACAAACAAATACACATATATTTTATATTTATAAATATATATACATATATATATATATATATACGTATAAACATATACATACATAAATCTAGTCCAGTCGGTAGAAACTACAAAAGAGATTATAAAACAAAAAAAAAAAAGAAGAAACATTACAAAGACAAATAGTGAGATTTCACGAGATTCTTAAAAATGTGAATCGATTCCGCACTTCGTATCGAAACTGGGAGAGAATTCCACAGCTGAACGGCTCGAACTGTAAATGAGTGACTGTAAAAAGTTGTACTGTGTACAGGAGTCATGAGGGTAAGATTCTCTGATGACCTAAGAGATAACGTGTTAGAAGTGTGAAGGAAATTAAAACATTCCTTAAGATAGCGCGGGGACTTAGGATTGAACAATATGTTGTAGAGAAGAGTAAGAATGTGAGTATTCCGGCGAAGGCGAATAGGTAGCCACTTGAGCTGCGAACGAAATTGAGAAACGTGATCATATTTGCGCAAACCAAATATGAAGCGAATACAAAAGTTTTGAAGTCGCTCAAGCTTATTAAGTTGTTCTTCTGTGAGATCAAGATAACAGACGTCAGCGTAATCAAGAATAGGAAGCAGTAATGACTGTGCTAAGGTAATTTTGGTGGTGACGGGTAGGAAATTACGTAGTCTCCTAAGAGACGCTGCCGAAGCAAATAGTTTGCGACTGACCACTTGCATTTGTGGGCCCCAACTCAAATAAGTGTCGATCGTCAACCCCAAGTTTTTAACCGATGTGCTAAATGAAATATTATTACCAGCCAGTTCGATGCTGGGTAGTGACTTCCAATCGATTCTGTCTATCATCCTAGAACTACCTATTATTATGCTGGTTGTCTTAGTGGGATTCAAGTCCAAACCAAAAGATTTACTCCACTCTGTAATTACATGGAGATCACTATTAGTGGCTCGCACCGCGTCCTCAAGTTGACCAAGAGGTGCTTGGCGATAAATTTGAAGATCATCTGCATATAGGTGGTAGGAAGAAGAAATATTGTTTGAAACAGAGTTGATTAATACAGCGAAAAGAAGAGGAGATAAGACGCCGCCTTGCGGAACACCGGCAGTCGTATCGCTCCATGAAGAAAATTTCTCTTCGAGACGAACACGCTGCCTGCGCCCATACAGATAACTGTGAAGCCACTCAATCACTGATGGAGATACGTTAAGAGAGCGCAGCAATGCCAGAAGAACATCAAAGTTGACTGTGTTAAAAGCATTGCTGAAGTCCAACAATGTTAATACCGTAAGGAGACCGTTATCCATCCCAAGGCGAATATCATCAGTCAATTTAAGCAAAGTAGTTGTGGTACTATGCCCAGGACGGAAACCGGATTGGAAAGGATTAAAGAGATCGTGGCGAGAAAGGAATACATTAAATTGGTTATGGACAAGGCGTTCAAGGACCTTAGATAGGAAAGGAAGAATAGAGATGGGACGAAAATCGGCGAAGGATTGAGGGTTTGATTTTTTAGGGAGTGGAATGATTTGGGCTTGCTTCCAAACTGACGGAAATACAGCATTGCAAATCGAGCTGTTAAAAAGGAAAGTAAGGACAGGAAGGATGATTTCAAGGATAGGTATCAACATGTTGCGACTGATGCCATCATTCCCCACAGCGTTGGAAGAGATAGAAAGCATGCCCTTCTTAACGTCACATTCAGTGAATTGAGTAAAGACAAAAGGAGAGTAGTCAGGAATTGGTAACGAAGAAAGATAATTTAAAGTACTGGTCTTGTTAGAATCACTGAGACAAGAAGAGGAAGAAAAGTGAAGGTTGAGTGAATCAACGTTGATACTACTAGGAATAGATTCATGTCGGGATTTACCAATTCCAAGAGACTTAAGGAAATTCCAGACTTTTGCTGGATCTTTATTGTCGACAGAGACATGGATATGGCGACGTAAGGCATCCCTACACACCAGATTGCAGTGATTGCGAGCTCTAACATAGTTGGCTTTATTTAAGTCAGTTGGACGACGTTTATATTTGCATTTAGCAACGTCCTTTTTATGCATTAGGGCTAGGGCTTTAATTTCTTCGGTAAGCCACGGCGCTGGAACGTGTTTGAGTTTGATGGGACGAAAAGGAGCATGTTTGTCATAAAGTTTAGTGATTATATGATTAAAAGTCTCAACTTGGTCGTCCACAGACACCGCATTAATAACCAACGACCAATCGGTATTTTGAGCGTCAGAGAGAAACGCTTCTCTGTCCATTCCACCAAAATTACGCTGAAGAATGACTTTGGGTTTCAATTTGTTAGGACGAATTTTATATGACAAAAAAATCAAGTCATGGTAAGAAAAAGCATCGGCAGAACATTG